TCTGTAGCTTAGTTCTACATAGTTGAATTGTTAATATACCATCATCCATACAAATGCTCCCTGCTTTCTATAGTTGATCTGTGACACCACGCATCCCAGTAGAACACAGAAAACTTGTTGTCAAATTGGAGCGTAGGCGTTTGACCTGACACGGAATAGAAGGGCGAGAAGAGGTCGGATGGATTGCAAGAGATGACTGAAGGTCTACTGGAAATTACTAGAAGGAGCTATGTTGTGCTGGCTCGGTTGAGTTGTTAGGAGACAGGGGAACAGAGGATGGGCTGCTGGATTAGAAAAGGGTGGAAAATACAGGCTGGTGCACAGACGCTGTTCATGTACTCTACAATCTCTTCACCTGCCGAGTTTAGTGAATCAATCTATCCATGTAATATCATACTTCACATCATCCATTAGATGATATTATCAATCGTCGGGATGCACATCTAGCATCACCTTCATAGATCACCATCGTCAGTAAGAGTTCACATTTGATACCTACTGACACCCATTTGGCCACAGTGATACGCACTCAGTGTCCATCGTGCCATCACCCAGCGTGAGCGCGCCATCTCCGCGACTCACCATTGCACATGAGCCCGTGTAATTCCACCGACAGACAGCAGAGACATAATTGCTATATACCTCACAGCTCATAACCACAACAAGCTAAAGGTTTGAAAGGTGGGTAAAATAAATTGCTAAAATGTCTAGAGGTTCGAGTGGGTACTAATGGTAACTAAAGGTACAAAAGGTAACTGGAGGTGACCAGAGGTAATCCGATGATGGTGGTTATAACAGAAAACTAAGTGTAGAGAACTTCATATCTACAGACCATGCCATCATATATATACCTGCCCTCCTTCCACTAAATCATCATAACATAGACCTTAACCCAGTGTCAGGATTGCCTTCTGCATAATCTATATATGTGGAGATTGTGACGGTCTTAAAGTGGCGTTTTATTCAAACTGAACTCAGAGCTAGATACAAATGAAAATCTTAAAGTAACGAGCAGAGACATGACTGAAAGCCTCCTATTTATTTACAAGACTATGATCTCGTTCCCTCATTTCATACCATTCTCAAAATAGATCATGACCTGTCCTCCGACAAACACCAGCATCTCCGTCTATTTTAATTCAGCTTCATTTTAATGTTAGTAATTTTAGTTATTAAAATAATTATGATGCATGTGGCTTAGATGACTCACGACTGGTGTTCGAGTCGTCCTGTCTGCAATCTAAATTTGTCATTTAAGAATAGATTTGCATGAACTGGGCCAAGGCCTATACTTGGGTCTAATGAGTCGTGGAGGGGTTCATGACATGTATGATGTTTAATATGGTTGGAAGAGTTCAAGCCTTATTTGTTAGGCAGCAGCCTAATGATAACCAGGTATGAGCCTGTGACAGAGATAACCAGAATCTAGTGTTCTATGATTCTGGTCTGTCCTTTTGGTCGAGCAGTTATGCACCTATCTCATGCATAATGTAGGATGGCGCCCTTTAGCCTGAACACCACCTCTTTGACCCTTGTCTCCGCCCTGCTGTCTACATGCTGCTCTGACACCCAGTATCAACATGATACCATGTGTCAAGGACTGTACTGTTGTCATAGCAACATAGAAAGAATGGTAAAATTATGTACTGAAGGAAGGATTGGAAGAGGAATACTTACACTTGTACTAGCAAAAGATGATAAAAACTCCCATAAAATAAGCCAAATAACATATGTTACACTTGATATTAATGGCCGCCGAGAGCGTCTGTGGGGGTACATCATCAAAGGATTGCATCACAATTTAATCCTCGGCAAGGGATGGGCAGAGAGAAACAACGTCATGTACGACGCCAATGGCCATTTACTCTACATAAATCAGGGGGAGGAAATACTTCAAATATTAGAACAAGGCTGGATGGAAAACGAGTATACCAAGAAAAAGCCATAACATATCCAAGAAGCAAAACTGGTATCTTCACTTGCATTTTCCGCTTTCACAAAGAAAGCGCAAAACAACCTGCGAGACTTAACACTGGCATTGGTCTCAATTGCAGATATCAACAAAGCCTTACAAAAATTTGATCAAAGCCAAAAGAAAAAACCAACTATTAAATCAGTCAGTAAAATGCTCCCCAATCAACTCACCGGGTTTGAATCCATGTTCTTATATGACGAATCTAATCAACTACCACCCCACAGAGTTGGGCACAACATGGAGATCAAGATAGAAAAAGATGAAAACAACAATGAGAAAAAGCCACCTTATGGACCCCTCTACAAAATGTCAAAGGAAGAGTTATTAGTTCTGCAAAAAACCTTAGCAGATCTCCTTGAAAAAGGCTGGATACGAGCAAGTTCTTCACCAGCTATCTCACCAGTGCTTTTTGCCAAGAAGCCAGGGGGTGGCCTAAGGTTCTGCGTCGATTATCGAGGCCTTAATACAATCACAAAAAAAGATTGTTATCCCCTTCCACTGATTCGAGAGACACTACGACAATTAACTAAAGCCTGTTGGTTCAATAAAGTCGACGTTTGCACTGCGTTCCATTGTAAATGGATCAAGGAAGGAGATGAATGGAAAACAGCCTTCCACTCGTGTCAAGGCTTATTTGAGTGGCTAGTTTGTCTTTTCGGATTGTGTGGAGCTCCGGCAACATTTCAATGTTTCATTAATAGTATCCTGCAGGAATTTCTAGATATATTCTGATCAGTATATGTTGATGATGTCATAGTCTATTCAGACAGGGACTTAGAAGACCATTACCAGAAAGTATCTAAAGTGATGAATGCACTCAAGACAGCTGGTCTGCGTTTAGACCTCGAAAAGTGTTGTCAGGATTGCCTTCTGTATAATCTATATGTGTGGAGATAACCAAATTTGGTGTTCTATGATTCTGGTCTGGCCTTTTGGCCGAGCAGTTATGCACCTATCTCATGCAAAATTCAGGATGGCGCCCTTAAGCCTGAATACCACCTCTTTGACCCACGTCTCTGCCCTGCTGTATACATGCTGCTCTGACAAGTGTGCTTTTGGGGTAACAACAATATAATTCTAAGGTTTCATCATTGAAGCAGGGGTCGGCGTCAAAGTATACCCTGATAAGGTGTAGGCAATCTCTGAGTGGGAGGAGCCAAATAATGTGTCACAAGTACGCCCTTTTCTTGGGTTCTCGAATTTTTACCGAGAATTTATTCCTTGCTTCTCTTCAATATGTGAACCACTCAATAATCTAACCAAGCGAGGTGTGCTATGGCAATGGGACATGTTCAAATTGGTGCTTCCAATTATGGTAAAGACAGGCATGTGTACAATACACATTACTAATCTCTCATTAATTGTGAGGTTAGTATTAATGCGCTTTGACATAAATTTCAACCACTAGATTTTATTATTACAAAATATAGTTTATATAGCACTCTGTGTCCTAGTGGGAGCAATCAACAACTCTCCACAACAGATTTACAGACTCCTTTACTTTCCTACTCGCTTCACCAAGTGATATAATCTGTGCCTAACAGCTGTCACAGATTCTAGGACAGGTGCTGGAGCAACTATGTGGTTGATGGTAGTAGATAATAATTCTAGGGAGAGAACTACTACAAGATCTATCTACACATGTATATATACAAAAGAGCCTCATGTTCTACGACGTCATTGCACTATCAATTGAGGAGGTTGTGTCCGATCTCGTATATTCCCAGCCAATTGCTTCTCACCAACAAGTGGTGCCATGTTGAGCTGCACTGTTGAATCAGATGCTATGCAGATTCCGATGCTCCAATATTAGATCGATCGATTGTGCGCACCCTAAATCAGACGAAGCCTATGTTAGCCAACATAGGCTACAGGAACCAGCCGTCACAACAGCCACAAGCTTTTGCAAACCAATCCACTCAACAATTCCAACATCATTGGCCCCAACAAAAAGTAAAAAGTCATTTACAGTGAATCAATTAGAAGACCCCGCTTTTGACGAGACAACCAATGACTTGGAAAATCTCATGACAGCTGATCTAGACAACGACGTTTCCCATAGCATTGGAAATTTCTGGGAAGTTTTTCTCGAGGATAAGCGTTGGTCCAAACAGACTTCTCACATATGGGAAAGCTATCAGAAGTACGAGAATGCTGAGAAGAAGGAAAGATTATCAAAACTGCAGGAATTGGAAAATCCGGAAGACATTTGTGACCAGGAAAACCTGCATAAAGCCAAAAGTGAGAAGTTACTTGAAATAAACATGCTAGAAAGTGAGCTTTAGGACTGGCTCCATTTTTTCAAGCAAAAATTTTTAGATCAGCTCAAAGGTCCATTGCCAAAACCATCCATAAAACATCCAATATTCATTGAAAAGCCTTTCTCCCAGTTGCGGGGACAATATTGTCATACGGAACGTACGGGACACGCGCTGAAATCAAAGGGAAAACCCCATGTCACAGACCGGCTTTCCCAAGAGGAAAATAGCCTGCTTGTTACTACCATTGTGCCATAGGCTAATGCTGAAATGCTGCGTTTAGTCTGGTCAACCAAGTCAGGAACTTCCCTAGTAACAGAGTCAATGCATTGCGATGGTTACAATGTTATGATAGCAACAGTTACTAATCAACATAAGCAATTAGTTGCTGTGTTACAGCTGTAGACTATCATACCCCTGATTGTAGTAGCCGCTCTTGAGTACTTAAGGAAGGTCTAGGACTAGATTTGTTCTGTAGCTTTTTGTCTTGTAATTATTCTAGACTTTAGATTGATCTAATTATTATAAGCTTTACCTTATACCCCGATTCCGTCTCGTTCCGCCTCCGTCTTGCTCCGCCTTCGTCCCATTCCAATCACATCCTGTTCCGACTACATTGGTCCCAACACTGTCCCGTTCCGACCCGTGTCCTCCGAGCTAAGCCAACAATCCTGACACCTCATCTTGATTTTCTAGTCAAAAGTATTGACTTGCCAAATGACGGTCCTGCTTAATGGGAGAATATAAATGTCCTGGGTGAGTTCACCATGTCACCTGGTGAAGACAAAAGGAAGAAAATTTTCATAAAATTATCGAGGTCTGTTCAAGAGGTCTTTTGTGCTCAGCCGTTCCGTCGGTTTCTACATAGTTTCTGCTTTTTCGGAGACGAATTTGAGCTCTGGCTTTTTGATCGATCGGGTGCCTACAGCGCAGGACCAAAAAAGATTGTTGATGACAAGGAGATGTTGGTCCGAGCAATAAGCTCATATCTTCTGATGAGCAGTGAAGAACTCGGCTGCGACATGTCTATCCTCCAGAATGGAGAAGATAGATTTGTCCAGTTCCCCAAAATTGGTGATGTTTCAGGTCCATTGTTTGAGATCAAACCTGAACCTATAGTACAACCAACGAGGCTAATAACTCGAGGTACAACCTGCTTTGAAACGAAGGATGAAACGACGATGATCAAGTACTCGTGGACTAGTTCGAAAGAAAATACCGAGATTGACTTCCTGAACATGGCCAAGACTGTGCAAGGTGTCGTAAATATTATTGCTTCATATGTGATATATGACACCAAATCTCACATGGATAGCCTAGATATTTCTATTTCTCTGCCTTGGGATTTAAGAGCTGACGATAAGTATATCTCCGAAGGCCATAACACAAGTGATTCAACAACTGTTTCCTACGAGAGAAACCGTCGACTTATTAGAATAGCCATGACACCAAGCGGCCGGACAATCTATTCCAGTGGGTCGATTCTTGATTTTGTGGCGGGCATTCGAGATGCCATCAAGGGTCATGAGGGACTGGTGGGTAAAGAGATACTCCGTGGAGATATCTCTGAAGGGAATATAATTTTGCTGAAGCCATCTCCAGCCAACGACTTACATGGTATGTTGATTGACCTCGATCACTCGGTTAGGATGAAAGGAAATTTGGCCTTGGAAGAGAGACAGTCCTTGACGGGAACTTTAAAATTAATGGCGCTTGAGAGATTGGAGCACGCTCGTGATACAGGAAAGTCTATCAGACGCACTTGTCGTCATGACCTGGAGTCATTTTTCTATGTGTTCATTATTGGATGCATAGAATATGAAGAAATATCTGCGGACAAAGCTAAGAATCTAGATCGTTGGTGCACAAACGAGGTGGAAAACAGCTTCTCGAACAAAAGAGATAGCGTCGTACATTTTGACGAAATTCTCATCAAATTTACGGCCAGTTTCAAAGGGTAAAAGAATTTATCGAATATGCTTCGAAAAATATTGTTTAATGATGACAGAAAATATATTAAGACACCTCAAGACTGTGGAGCTTTGTATAGAAAAATCATCAGGGCATTTGAGGAAACTATCGAGGATCTCAAAGGTAAGATTTGATTCTTACTAAATGAAAGATCCACTCTTTTGACTCGATGTTCACTGACAAATTATTAACATTTTAGTTGGAAGAATCGAGAACAAATTTTTCCAAGCACGTCGAAAATAAAGCGTGATGATGTATATTCACCGGCGAAATGGGATTGATAAATTGCCAGATATGTTGAAATAGGATCATGTGGCTCGAGATTGGACAGTAGGATTAGTAATTATTTGCTTATTAAATGAGCATCAATGCTTTCCACGTTGACTAGAATTTAATCATGAATACGAAGATGAAAATTACAATTTACTGAGCTTGCGTAGTATTTAGGGAAGATTGCTGATGTCATGCGAGATAGACTTTGATTGATGCGACTTTGTCGGTGAAACGAATCATTAACTCATGAAGACACAAGAGTGACCCGGTTTTAAGTGTTTCAGTAATTTAATTCTCTGTCCATCAAGCTGGATCTCATTCCTTTGACTGACTGGCTGGAATCTGTTGAAAATAGAAGGTTCACGACTGCACCCATTGTTGCCCATTGGTAACAGTGACTAAGCCTCTTGTAAGGTGTGTATAGCGAGGTTTTATTTGCATCAAATTTTAATTGCGTATGCAACTATCTGGCTATGACACTATCAAAGAAAAGTACAGGATAGATGACTCAATTTAAAAAAGGAACACTCATGCCTCGGATTACATCTGCACGTACCACTGTGAAGAAGTGGAGTAGGTTCCGAGCCTACTCAGACTATACCGGAGAACACCAACAAGGGGCGGACCATGGCACCTTCCATCGTCGGCTTGTTTTTCTAGTGTCAGCTGCACTCTCGCAAGCGAAGTCTTGGCGCACACGAAGCCCAATTTGTAAAACTCCTTGCCAAAATTCGGAATTTCATGCCATTCAAAGTTATATCCATCCTCTGCATCATCTTGTGAACTTGTCTCGATTTCTCTTAAACCAATTTCAACAAACTGTGTCCCAGATCTATGCACCACGCTTTGCTTCCTCCATCGGGTGTAAATATCGGCGTGGGCGTGTATTTGGTGGCCAGCTAAGACCAGAGAAAGTCGACGAGATATGTGGTCATTGGAGTGAGGATGTACTTGGTCATACTTGTAGACTTGACGTGACTTAGGTTGGAGTCAAACTCTTTGGGAGTGAATTCTTGACGAGGTGGAATAATTTGAATTCGGAAGTCTATCACAATGTAAGGACATGTAGGTCCTTTCTGCCTATAGGCCGGGTGTATCTATGCCTCAGGTAGTGTACTCCCTCCTATGCCTCCATCACGACTTCTTTCCAGCAGTAATACCCCCACAGAGGGTTGGATGGTGCAGTGGTACACCATCCGGGCCGTTCTCCCAAGTAGATACTGGGTAGCTTGAACAGCTGCCCCATTCGAGACAGGAGAAAGCTGGTTCGAATCCAGTCAGACCCACCCACCACTCTCTCTCGCGGTGATATTGTACTTGTGGGATGATGAAAGCACACTTGAATAGCCACAGGTTTTTCACGCTTTTCCCTATGGTGGGTATGCACAGAAGAGGTTATACGTCGTAGGGGTTAATTTCTAGTGGTATCTGCAAATCAAATCTGAGTGTGAGTATTCTAAACGTCAAATTGAGTCATCCTACTTAAAGTACATATCTTCCGATAAAAAAACCTGCATGGGCCTCAAGGCGCCAAATCAGGATAATGAATAATTATTATTATTATAATACCCCCACAGGTCTTCATTCGAGTACACACTAAGAGGAGCCGTTATCCCGTCATTATCTCCCCTCTCCAGCCAACGAAACGATGGCCATTTGCGGGTGTGTAGCTGTAGGGAAAAGTCTCAAAAACCACTGGGTGCGGGGCTCTCCTATTGTTGCGGTTTGACCGTTGATGAGCTTAGGTGGATACCTAAGCCTGATATTAAGAATTCTTACGAAGAAGCTGTATGGGGGGGAGATGAAGCTGAACAAAACGGGACTACTACTCAGGAGGCTGAACCGTTATTACAACTTAGTGACACCTGGAAATACGTGGCTGGGTAAGAAGTATTGTGCCTAAGGACAAGTCACTAGTCTGTAGATTCACGAGGAGGATTAACTCCTATAAATACCTGTTAGTAGTAGCTAGAGATAGCTTTTCTCCTCATATAGTTTATTAAATCGATTTATTCATCACCAACTCGGTTTCCGTCACACCTATGACGAAGGGGCCGGCCAGCCGGGCGCAGCAGATCTGTGTAAATCGACTTTGAACTTGATCGTCGACTTTGTTTATTGGTCTGTTATCACAGACACGGAAATAGAATCATGAGATTGCTTTATGAGAGGCTAGGATTAATTCCGATATAATTTGGTTGAAGACTTGTCCTCAAATTTAGAGGCTACAATGTCTTTATATATCTACGTATTTACCCCCATATTCACCATTTCAGCTAGCCATTCTATATTTAGCGTGCATAGCCTGATTTATCTCATGGTTCTGGGATGGGGATGTAGTTTCCGAATAGCAGTATTCTTTTAGCTACTACAATACGTAGCAGCTTCAGATATAGTTTACCGTGCGATACTTCCACCTTAGCTACATGCCTCCTTGATATACTGCCGGCTCGGTTATCAGTGAGATAACCGAAGCTAAACCTTAACAATAACCTTAATTACGAAACCATGAATACCTAAGACAGAAGCCTGCAATCTAACACAATTAGGTTAGGAATTGCCAACTACAACCTAATCCAAACATGTGTATACCTAAGAGAGTCTCTCAACCTTCCTAGCATCCTACTTACTCCTCCCCTGATTCATGCCGCAGGACAAATCGAAGGTCGTGAAAGGATGCTAGAAAAGTCTTGGTCGAGAGTGGCTGTCGTGAGGGAGCCTAGCCCAGCATCCAAAAGTCGTTACGGACATGGGGTCGTCGAGTAACTCATATATTTCAGATGCCCTCCTGGATAGTAAATTAGGAGGTATAGATTAGTAGGGATGATATTTTTGACGAGTCGAAATCTGCTTTTCTTTAGGGCGGAAGGATCTTTTACTTTGCTTTCGTGGGCTTTTTGTTCGGCCGCCGGTGGGTAGCACATGTTGTGATATATCGAGGGCTTCTCTGACTACCGTTGTGTCGTTTGGTACCGCATAATCTCTCCTCATTCCCAGCATCATTATCATCGTCTTGGCCGCCTTGTGTGTTATCGGAAGCGTATCTTTGAGGGAGGGGGAGATAACTCAGCTCAAAGTTGATAAGGTGTTACTCAACCTCGGCTTTGCAGACTCTACAATGAGAGCTGGAAGTTCGTAGTGGACACCACTGACAGATATTGAGAAGAGTCCCCGTAAGAAGAAATATTAGATCGGGTGTGGGCTGACTCATGAAAATAGTTAACCGCTGTTATACGCACAGTGTTCTTGACCTATAGGCAGAAAAGATCTCTATGGGTATTTACAGCCATAGACTCAAAAGGGACGACAGAAGAATCTTCATTAAATTCCCAGCCGCACTCTCATAATCAAAAGCTTGATGCACACAAAGCTCTTCGATTTATCAAACTCCTTGTCAAATTCAAAATATCATCCCTCTCGAGTTTGTATCATACGTTTACATAACCTTATCCAATTTTCCTGATCTCCCTTACGTCCATTTCAATAATCTACCTTCTGAATTTATGCATCCCAATTGATTAACGGTGGCAAGTGTAAAGATTCTTGTGCGCGTATATTTGGAGGCATGGTAAGCGCTGTGTCTAATTTGACGAGAGGTGTGGTCATTGAAATGGGGATAAACTGGGTCGTGCTTCTAGTTTTGATGAGGCTATGATCGGAAACCATCATGCTGGGAATGGAAGATTGATGTCATTGGAAGTTGTGATTTATTTCCTCGAGGACCAACTTCATTGCGAATTTTTGAACAAACCTCTAATGGCTGAAACCCTTGAATCAATTATTATCTCTATCTTTAAAATGATTTAGTTGTGTTCAAACACGCTGCCTTTGATACGCATATAATATCGAACTACAGCATGGACCAAGGATTTGAACAAGGGGGAGGCCCTTGGCTAGATTTGCATTGAATGGTATCACTATGACTTCTATCGATGCTGGGGAAAACAACCTAGATTAACACACATTTGTTGCCAAATTCTTTCACAATCGACTTGCTTCATAATCCGTCAAGCTGTTTTCCTTCACCCTCAGACGTCCTCAATTTCTCTCTATTGCAGCATTGGTGGGTTCCCAGCAAAATCTAGCCAAGGAAAACAACTCAGTTGCTTGTTCCTCTTCTATGCATAATAACATCAAAATGCATCATAAAGTTGTGAGTGAGTTGCTCTATCTTACAGGCGCCCCAACTATACGCAGAACTATCACCTGTACTAACTGGTATTAATAGTAGTTGGGTCGGGCCCGGCTGCGCACACGGCAGCTATATATCTCGCGCGAGCTGAATTGAAACGTAATTCTCATACAGCAAATAGAATCCCTATCAGACTAATTAATGAGATTAGCGGTTTTATATGAGGGTTTTCTTGCTAATGGAATTGCACCCGGTGGACAGTTAACCACGACGACTGATGTTGAAAACTACCCGGGCTTTCCTGCTGGTATCACCGGTCCAGCACTCATGGTGGACCTCACACGCTCATATATAGTCATCCGGCTGACTGGAATCTTCTCTAGGATGCCATGCGTAATCAATCCGAGCGTTTTGGCACTCGTATCATTACTGAAACAGTATCGCGCGTCGATCTCTCCCAACGTCCGTTTCGCTATTGGACTGAGCTTAATGAAGAAGTTAATACGGCAGACGCTCTTATTATTGCAACTGGTGCCTCTGCTCGTCGTCTTGGCCTTGCTGGTGAGCAGAAATACTGGCAAAGCGGGATCTCAGCTTGCGCTGTTTGCGATGGTGCTGTACCCATATTTCGTGACAAACCGTTAGTGGTAATTGGTGGAGGTGATTCTGCTGCAGAAGAAGCTATTTTCCTCACCAAATACGGTTCGCATGTCACAGTGCTCGTACGAAAAGAAAAATTGCGAGCCTCAAAGACGATGGCCAATCGCCTACTTAACAACAAAAAAGTTACGGTGAAATTTAATTCTGTTGGTGTAGAAGTCATGGGCAATGAAAAAGGTCTGATGGATCGTCTGATAATTAAAGATGTTCAAACTGGTACACAAGAGACAATCGTGGCAAATGGTCTATTTTATGCCGTTGGGCATGACCCTGCTACGGCTTTAGTAAAAGGGCAGCTGGCTACTGATGAAGAGGGCTACATTATCACAAAGCCCGGTACGAGCTATACTGATGTGGAGGGCGTATTTGCTGCAGGTGATGTACAAGATAAAAGATATAGACAAGCTATTACAAGTGCCGGTAAGTACTTGCTACCCCCCCATGTCTAATAGTTTCAACTTCCAACTCACACAACCATTAGGCTCGGGATGTATTGCAGCCTTAGAAGCTGAAAAGTTCCTTGCTGAACATGAAGATGTCAGAAAAAATGACAATTGCTAAAAATACGCGATGACTTTACGCATAAGTACAGAAACTGCAAAAAAAGAATTTATTCAAGACTTTCAGTTAGGATAATTGCAATCTTCGGGATGAACGTTATAAACAAGTCTCATATCACATACCTTATAGTTACAACTAAATGACGACTTAAATGATCATGCAGTCAAGACCGAGATATCTCGATCGTAAGTATTTATTACTAGCAGCCTTATATCTTGCTTCATTATGAAAATCAAATTTTGACAAAGTTCAAATCTTTAATAGAAATGATTTATCTTTGAACTGAAATCATGTCAATGATTTGTAGCCCGATCGTACAATGCTAGCTAGTTTATTGAAAATCTCTGGAGCATACATCTAAGTTTGCCACTGGTGCAGATATTGGAGCCCTGATTGAATCCGAATCTAGTACGTTACGCGGACATATGTTCCCGCCGAAGGGCGAAGGTTGAACACCTGTCAGTGTTGCCCTCTACGGGCTTGGGAGAGAAATATTCTCCCAGAGCCGAGATTCAGTCACGAAAATGGGTAGAATAAATTTTATTTGACGGATTTCCGACTTGAAGGAGCTTAACTAGGTATTTTAGTCGAAAATTTTTTTTTGCATCAGATTTTAATTGCGTATGCAGCTATCTAGCTGACACAATATCAAAGAAAATTACAGAATAGATCATTCAACGTTAAGGAAGAGCACTCATGCCTCAGATTTCATCTGCAAGTACCACAGCGAAGTTATGACGGCTTTTTCTTCACCCCAAGTCAACCCTCATCCGTGAATACCCGCCCAGGGGAACGTCTCAAAAACCCTGAGTTATCCAGACATGCCTCCGTCATCCATCAACTTTTCTCCGCGCGAAATATGATCTGAGGTGTCTCTTTCACAAGTGGAATAGGTGCCAAGGCTACTCAAACTATACCGGAGAACACCACCAGGAGGCGGACCACAACACCTTCCATCGTCGGCTTGTTTTTGTAGTGTCAACTGCACTCTCGCAAGCGAAGTCTTGGCGCGCACAAAGCCCAATTCGAAATACTCCTTGCCAAAATCCAGAATTTCATGCCATTCAAAGTTATATCCTTCCTTCGCATCATCTTGTCAACTTGTCCTGATTGCTCTCACGTCCATCACAATGAACTATCTCCCAGATTTGTGCGCCACGCTTTGCTTCCTCGGTCGGGTATAAATATCGGCGTGGGCGTGTATTTGGTGGTCAACTGAGACCAGAGAAGGTCGAAGAGAGGTGTGGTCATTGGGATGAGGATGTACTAGGTCGTACTTGTAGACTTGATGAGACTTAGGTAGGCGTCAAACTCGTTGGGAGCGGAAAAACGACGTGGTGGAGTAATTTTAAATTTTGCCTCGTGGGCCAACTTCTTTGATATTGCGAAATTTGACTGAACTTGGCTCTGGGAGAATATTTTACTCCCAGGTTCGTAGAGGACACCGCGTACATGTGTTTAGTCTTGCCCTCCAGTCGAAAAATGTTAGACATTTGGAAGAATCTAAGAAATATATTTTTGGTGCTTGGATCACATTTGGATATATTGGGTCCAATAATAGAGTACTTTAAAATTAGCTAGTTGAATGCACGGTCCACTTTGAGAAGTGATAACTTCTGGGGACCGATGCTCCGAAAAGAAGAATCAAGTTGTTTATACTGAGTTGATGATACCCGTAAATATTCTTCATCTTCTACAAGACAGGTTGCCCAGTTTCGTGACAGAAATTTAGTCAGCATAGATTTCACAGCCGCAACAAAATAGAGTAAAAACTTATCACCACTAACATACGATTCACGAATGGGACTAGGTCTGTCTAGGAGTCGTATTCAAACATCCGAGATCTCTCAAACTCCTCATGTATTTGCGACGAAGCATTTCTCAGTCGACCCACACCTGCGACCCACCTCCATATCCGTCACGTCACCTACCTACACACGCCCTAATAAGGAAAGTCATGATGGAAACGGGACGTGTACAGAGCAGGAAGAAAAGAGAAGATACACTGAGGAGATCGCACAAATCCCCGATGACGACAACAACCTAATGGTACGATATGTAGGTACAAGGCTAGAGTAACGATGAGATCTTGGACGGCATTTATATTTCGGTGTCAATGAGGATGTCAAGGGCTCGAGCGCGTGGTGGCCGAGGCTAAGGGGAAATTTGCGCCACGGCGTATATACAGCGGGTCTCTGGACGGTTTGGCTTGATATGATTCAACATATGGGTCAAATCAGAGGTGGTCCGGTCATTTGAGTGGGACGAGGTATATCTGTACTTCATGATAGTTAATCTGATACGGCCCGGTCCCACTTGTCCTTAGGCTCCAGTAGGAGTGTGACGGGAATCACTATACCTAGCACGTTAACGAACGAACAAACGCACATTTTTGAGAAATTGATGAAAATTTGCCTTATCCACCCATCCCACCCCTTGAATCCATATCTCATATTTTATCACATCAATCTCTTGCGGTACCGCGCCACTCAGCTTTAAAATGGCACCGGTATCCCCTAAATCCGTGAAAACCATGAAAATTGTGTTAACCACGAAAGTAGGCAAACATAACCACCAGAGGTGTCTGGATTCCCGGAAACATATGCTACAATTAGCCAGAAATGTGGTATCTCAGAAAACGAAGGACAGAGGACTGGCACCTAACGCCACCAATATCGACGTAATGGAAGTCGATATAGTCACCCAGATGGATGAACGCGGCCTAACCGACGTTGAAATGGTGGAAGCGGACAAAATTATACAAAAAATAATCACAAAGGGTCTTGAGGACTCGCGATGGGCATACGCGGGAGCTGAGAGCTCCTAGAAGGCGTCAGCTGCCCCAGAATTCGTCGTCGAGAAAGCAGTCTCAGCGACAACGACCGTATCCGCACCCATTGCGGCTCGAAAAATCGTGGTTCCGACAGCAAAGCAAATACTAAATAAAATTACACCGAGGGAAACGGAAGTCCCGACTCACACAATGGCAGCAAATGCTTCGATACCTCTGCCACCCCCGGCCACAATTCCAGGGACGGCTGACCGCCACAATCACTCTGCTGGTGATGCTCTCACTTCCGCGACAATACAACATCCGCCTGAAATTGAAACTCTGCTTGAAGCCGAAAGGAAGCGGGCTGCAATCACGTCAGCCAAGCTCGAAATATGATTGACGCTGTTGAACACACTCGAAAGTGTTATCCTGTTATTGAAAACAACAGATAACAAGGAATGCTTGGACGCCATGAACGTCTGTCTAAGGAGCGCCCTCGCCCAATTCCTACGCACTGGAACCACACCAGTACTGACAAGTCTTCCTCCCCGCCCCACTGGCCAGCAGGCCAGCACCAGCGGGACCTTCCCATCATCAACCGCCAGGCCAGCAAGGCCTGCCGTAGCGGTGCCCCGGTTAACGCCAACCTGGGCAACTGTAGCCCGAAAAGGGCTACTTAATCAGCCGATACCAGTTATGGTTAGTCGTGCCCCAAAAATGCCGACTCTGCCGACCAAGAAATTGACCAAGACGGCTCCTTTGTCCTTGCTAGACAACCAACTGTTCCTCCGGCTGGGCTCAAAACACCAATGGCAAAAGATTTCGCCAGCTGGCATCAGAGAAGCTGTATCACAGCTCACTAACGCGCCACATGCAGCCATTGAGCACGTTTACCGTGTCCCAACAGGTTTCGCACTTCGAGCGAAAGACCAGGAATCTGGCTAGCTCTTATTGGACGCGGCGGAATCTTTCCTTCCCATCGAAGCAAGACTGGAGGAGGCCTCTATTGTGAGGTTATGGATCGTAGAGGAATGCTGGAATGGTATAGGGAGGTGAAGGATATATGCCGAACAACGAAGCAGTTGAATAGAGCTTAAGGGTGAAGCTTGGTAGGGTGACAAGAAGAGGGTATGAATAGACCTTCAGAGATATTCAGTAAATGTAATGATCTGAGGATTTCTGAAGAACACTACATATATATACAGGAATTAGTCCTACTGAGACGAATTTAGAAATAAGCCAGGATATGCGCCCATGTCCCAGTATGGCAACATTATCATGGTGAAGATATGTCTTGACCACTAGTAGACCCCCAAGCTAGCTTAGTGTAAGACAGAATCATGCATATACCATAATTTCCAACATATCTTGTGTTAAGTGCCGAGACTAATTAATATTACAGAAAATAGATGTGGCGCAGTATTAAATGATACAAATAACGGAAACGAAAACGAGATAGTGCATGACTAGTGTAACAGATGCAGGACTGTTAGAATTACAACAGCCTCCAATCTTGTGGCGCTACGGAACTCGAGAGTCCCCGTCGCCATCCATACTCTTCTTGGATAGGTGCCAGTGTCTCAGGGAGCTTACTACTAACGTTCCGTAGGGCACGAAGGGATATTGAATATGATTATAGGATAGCAGTGAAATGGTCTTCTGTACGGAAGAGAGATGTGAGGTGGTACAATATGTGAACAGAATGTAAGAAGACGTTGCGTAAAGAGAGAACTCTCCCACGCCTACCAGACTATATACAGGACATTACCACTAGCGCTTCAGCATAGGAGACAATGTAGTGACTACTTGTTTACTATCAGACCACCTTTACCTTTCTAGACCCTTGCATCCACACCTACTCACTAGCTTATCAAGATCAAGCACTACCCTAATAGCCTACTGTCATATAGACTGCGTCGGAATTAAAACAAATTAATTATACCCTACTGCTTATCCATGAAACAGTGACAGAAGAGATGGTAATTGAGGAGATCACCAGGGATACAACGGCCTTTCCAGTCAAAGTTCGGCCTCACGGGAAAACCCGCCCTGACGCGCCATATCAATCATGGATTTCCAATTTCAAGAAGGGAGCAGAACCTAGACAAAGGTTCCGCCTATTTGACGACTCTGGTGTCACGGTCCGACATCAACCGCGACAGACAGTGCAGCAATGCAAACGCTGCCTATAGTTCCACGGAACGCGTGGTTGCTCTCGCACCCCAGC